TGAAAATAGAAAAAAGGCATTAGATTTATGCTAGCAGCTAATTCACACAAAAATCTATCAAATGTAACATCTCTTATGACGCAAGGGATAGTGAAACTCCTTGGATCTTTGAGCTTTGGTGGTAGCTTCTTCTGGAAAATGGCGATGCATTCCTCTGTAAGCATCACTATTTCTTCCTCTTCCAGCTTCCTCTTATTTGAAAGAATTTCCTTTAGGAACTTAGCATAACTCGACATCTACTGCAATGCATCTACAAAAGGAATGTTAATGGACAATTTTTTGAAAACGTCAAGAAATTTAGTAAACTGCTTATCCTAAGTTTTCTTCCTTAATCTCTGAGGAAAAGGAATTAGAGGAGTGTGGTGTGCCAACTCTGGTGGTATTTTAGGAAATGGTAATTTTTCCTTCCTTGGCTTTAGCATCTTTTCATTCTTTGGTTCTTCTTTTTTGGGACTTGTTGGTTTCTCTTCAACAATGATCTTTTCATCGACTTTTTCCTCAAATTCTTCCTTCTTCTTTGGCAAGTTCTCATCCTTCCCTTTTGGTTCAACCTTTTCTAAGACTGTTCCACTTCTTTAAGTTATGGCATTTGCTTGTTCACATGGATTTGTCACCGTGTTACTTGGTAAGGAACCTTGAGGTCTCTCATTCAACTTTTTAGCAATTTGACCCATTTGCACCTCTAAGTTTCAAATAGACTCTCCTTGATTTCTAAAATTTTCCCTCGTCTCATTCATAAAATCTGTGGTATCTTGCATGAATTTCCCAAACATATCCTCCAATTTTGACATTCTTTGCTCACATGGTTGATGGTTTGGCACTGTCTTTTGATTTAATTGATTGTTTTGATAGCCCTAGGATAAGTTTGGGTGATTTCTGCAACCAAGATTGTAAGTGTTGGAGAATTGATTGTTTTGTTGTCTCTAATTCCTAACCAAACAGTTGACTTGCTCTGATGATGAGGAGGATGAAACAAAGGTGTTCCCCACTTGGCAGTTAATGCTCGCATGGTTACCTGCACAAAAATCACATGTTACTTGAGGTGTTTGAATGGAATTAACATGCATACCTCCTATTTGTTTCTGAAGCGTGGCAAGTTGGGCTGAAATGGTTGTGTAAGCATCAACTTCATGAATACCCATGGACTCCTTCGACAGTATTTTGTCATCTAGTCTTTGGTAGTTGTTACTTGCTAAAACTTCAAGTAACTCTTGAGCTTCCACTGGTGTCTTGTTCTGTAAAGCTCCTCCAGCTGCTGCATCTACCATTGTTCGAACATTTGGTAGCAAACTCGAATAGAACGTTTGGACTTGCATCCAAATAGGAAAACAGTGGTGTGGACACTTCCCAAACATTTCCTTCAATCTCTCCCATAATTCATATAATGATTCATGGTCACCTTGTATAAATGAGGTAATGTCATTTCTCATCTTTGTCGAAAGAGCTGGTGGGTAATACTTATACAAGACCTTTTGTGCTAGATCATTCCATGTTGTGATGGTTCCAGTGGATAATGAAATTAGCCATCCTTTTGCCTTTGTTGAAAGAAGTAATTTCATTTCTCATCTTTGTTGAAAGAGCTGGTGGGTAATACTTGTACAAGAACTTATGTGCTAGATCATTCCATGAAATTAGCCATCCTTTTGCCTTTGTCGAAAGAGGTAATGTCATTAGATTGCGATTGTTTCCATTCTCATAAATGAGGTAATGTCATTTCTCATCTTTGTTGAAAGAGCTGGTGGGTAATACTTGTACAAGAACTTATGTGCTAGATCATTCCATGTTGTGATGGTTCTAGTGGGTAATGAAATTAGCCATCCTTTTGACTTATCTCTTAATGAGAATGGAAACAGTCGCAATCTAATAGCATTATTTGTCACCTTGTTGTGCTTGAATGTGTCACAGATTTCTAGGATGTTGGCTATGTGCATATTTGGATCTTCTTTTGGATCACCCCCAAATTGTACGGATTGCTAAATCATTTGGATTATAGCTGGCTTTATCTCGAAGTTATTCACCTCAACAGGCGGTCTCGTAATGCTTAGACTACACCTATCAACTTGTGGAAGGGAAAATTCCCTCAAAGTTCAGTTTTCAGCCATCTNCACCATATGTGCTCATAGGGTTCTCACTATCAAGATTTGAAACACTTGATACCCTCGTCACGGTTCTACCATTCTAAGGACATATATCAATACATATTGCAATAATAATGATTTACGCGATATAAAATAAAATGCCTTTTTATTGATTAATGAATATTATTACAAAGAGTCAATTCTACAATAATTGATTGGCTCTAGGGCATCTACTCTAACACGGACTACACCCATCAAATTGTGGAAGTGAAAACTCCCTCAAAGTTCTATTTTTAGCCATCTCAATGATTCTTACCTCTCTTTCTCTTCTTTTTTTGATGAGTCTTCTTGCAGTTCTTTCAATCTCTGGATCAATAGGAAGCATAGGAAGATTTCTTGCTTTTCGCATAACCTACAAAGGAAAGAAAAAGAGCGTGATATCACAAGCAAACAAAAATTAAACCAAAGTAATTAAAACTGAAAATTAAACTCCAATTTAGCAAAAACTAGAAAACTTCAATATTAACACAAAATCAATCCCCGACAATGGTGCCAAAAACTTGATGCATGAGATCACAAACATGCATATTTAACAAGTGCAGTAGTCATAGAAAGTAATACAATGATGAATAGAGTATTGTTCCCACAAGGATTGAGTGCTAAGTACCGATTTTCCTAGTTTTATAACTATTTGAAGAACACAAAAATGTTGGATTTGCGGGAGCTACTAAAAACTATATTGGAACAAAACAAAAGAGACAACTAAATTTAACACAATAAAAACAATTCAACAATGAAATTCAATTCAAGAAAAGAGGTTAGGGTTTTGATTTTACCAAGTTACTCCAATTCAACCTAATAATCCTATTATCTTCAAGTTCACATGCAAGGATTACAAATTGGATTCCCTAGGTTGTAAAATATACCTTATCAAGCTATAATTTACTACTTATCCCTATTAATCTTCTGCACCCAACAAATTGAAATTCAATAGTTCAAAGTCCCTTAAGCATGTGCAATCCTAAAAAGATTTCATAGATCGCGTTTGTCTATCTTTAGTTTTCACTCAATCTATGGTGTTTATCTCAAGAAGCTAACACATGAATCACTTCTCAGTCTCATCATGCTCAACATTCATTTGATTCAAAAACCCAACAATCAAATGCATTAAGAACAAAATTAAACACTTAATCCATCCAATAGAACCCAAAAACAACAAGGTATTATAGATTAAATCATTGTAAACAAAGATCCATCAAAACCCTAACCCAAAAATGAGTTAGTTCAAGTTCAAGTTCAAAATGGAAATAAACATCAAATACATAACAAAATCAAAGTTCAACATCATAAAAGAAGAAAGGGAAAAGAAAACTTCTCTAATTTGGAGACCGTAAACTCTTCCAATCTTCTTCTCCTCTCCTTATTTCCTAAAATGTCGACCTCTCTCTCAAAATGAGCTAACTTTTTCTTAGATAGTAGCCAAAAACCCTAGGACCCAATACTATAAAAGAAAAACACAGAGTTTTAAAAAAAAAAACTTAAAATTATAGTTTTCGCCATGGCGAAGAAAAAATCTTGCGACGGCATCGACTTGAGTTTAAATGACCCGTGATTCCAGAGGCTAGCTTGCCGCGGTGAACTTCTGATCTTCTTTGCTGAATTTACAGAACTTCCCTCCGATTACTTCTTCACTTGAATCTTTGATCTTCTTGATCTCCAATAGAAGCAAACTCCAAGGGTGCTTCTAGTCATCAGAATTTCCCCGATCTTCTAAATTTCACTCGATTCCAGGTCTAGAAGCTCATTTTTACTCTGTTTTGCTCCAACTGCACGTTTTTGCGTAAAACATAAAATATGTAGAATTAAGTAACAATTCAAGCACAAAACTCGTAAGAAGTATTAGAAAATCCTACAAAAATCGTATAGAAAATAGTATAATCCTAGGATTATTAGCCGACAACCTGGTACAATGCATAGGTGAAGTTCACTAGACAAACCCACTAGAGGATTTCGTATGGATGGTAACCCCAGTGTCTATGGAATAAATCCTCTAACGAATGGTGATGCATGTGATCCTTAGACTTGAGATCACTAGAGTACCTTGTGCACCGATTGGTGTAGTTTGACACTAGCCCAATGTAGTTCTATTCAAAGCTATCAATACAGTAGTGATTGGCTACATTAAAGAGTGTGTCAAGACTATGGTGGATCGACAAAGGATTCATCACTCTCAAGTATGGGATAAGTTATCTCACTGTACAATTCAGTAAATGGAAATGACACCAAATTTGTGGCCATGGTGGGATTGAGTTGTTGCTCAATCCAATTTATTAATCTGGTCATTGGTCTAGTATCTGAATAAATAGATATTGAGAATAACTGAGGTTGACACTATTTCTGTACCTCAACCTCGATGAGATAACATATGATGAAAGGATTTGATTTCAGGTAACTATACGGTTGATAGGTAGTTATTTCGCTAAATTCGAATCTATTAGGTGGCCATGATACCTTGCTAGGGGCTAGTCTTGGTCTGTATGTAGTGAGACGATTAATTGGTGTTAATAGCGATACTACTCACTGCCAATATGATAAGAAGCCTACATGTCACACACTTAGAAGATAATTTAAGAATCAGTTTGTGAAATGGGTATTTTTGTCTTTTAGGATGAAAGGGTATTTTGGTAATCTCACAGTGCAATTAAATTTGCTAACGTTGTTGCCTGTATTTAATTTTAATATTAAATTAAAATTAATGAGGTTATATTTAAATATATGTTCACATATATTTAAATGAATTATTATTAATTAAATGTTATTATATTTTAATATATATTAATTGATTTTAATAATAATAATTGTATTAAATTAAAATGCCATTATGGCTTGATTGATTGCAAGGGTGGATTAGGGTTGGAGCCCATGGCTATTCCTGAGTGGAATGGGGTTTTAATTAGTTGCACTGTATAAGTGCAACTCAATTAAAACACAATGACATTCAAACAATTTTTTAAATTAAAAAAAAAAAAAAAAACCCTTAGCTACCCAAAATTCTCCCCTTCATGTTTTCTTCATATTGCTGGAGAAAAATATTTCTTTTGATTCTTGAAGCCATCTCATTGTTCTAGTAAAACAGGTTGGTTCTTCGGATTGTCTTCATGTGGATCAACATTCGTTCGATTCCATTCTCAAATCGATAGTGAAATCAAAGCCTTGAAGGAGCGTCCAAACATTTGTTATTATATTGATTTTTAATTTTAACGTGTAAACAATATAATCGATACCCAGACCTGGCAAAAGATAATTGATTTATCTATCTAATTTTTGTTTTTCCATTGTGTTGGGTAGATCGATTTCTAACAGTACATCCTTGATGAACCTATCATAGAAGCGCCTAAACTTGAGTCTGCTCAGGAAGCAAGAGATGCTTATCGAAAGTATCTTGATGGTGCCGACATTGTACAATGTATTTTGCTAGCATCATTGACACCTGATATGCAAGAGCAACATGAGAATATGGATGTTTATTCCATTGTCACACATCTCAAGGAGCTCTTTCAGAAGCGTGCTAAACATGAATGTTACAAGGTGTCGAAGGCATTATACAGATGTCGAATGTCTGAGGGAAACACGGCTAGCCCACATGTAGTCAAGATCATTGGCTATATTAAAAAGCTTGAAAAACTGGGATTTGCTATGGATGCAGAACTTCCTATAGACTTGGTTATGCAATCCTTGCCTGCCTCCTTCTCCAAATTCATAATGAACTTTAATATGAATTCAATGGAGAAGTCTCTCTTAGAGCTCCTGAATATGCTGAAGACAACAGAGAAAGACATGAAGAAGTTCAAACCAGGGATGCTAGTTGATGCTGCACCATGGAAAGGAAGGGTAAACAGGGCGAAGAAAAAGCCAAGGGCAACTCTAAATTTAAGCCTAAAACCCAAGATGCCCTTAAACCTACTAGAGGCATGAGCAAAGATGGAAAGTTGTTTGCTTTCACTGTGCCAAACCTGTAATATACTGTATAGCTAGTAATTCTTTGAGAAATATATGATAAAATCCAGTAAATAACTTTTATAAACATATATACATAATGTAAAATCCGAAAATTCCAATTTTAATTCATATAAATATATACACAAAATACTGATATACTTTAGTAAGCACAAAGTAATCTTGAACAGTGCCGCCAAACTCCTCCGCTTCTTGATGTCCCACCCGATCGTAAATCATCTAGTACCTGCAAAATAGTAAAATAACGAAGTGAGCACTAATTGCTCAGTAAGTAAACCAAACTGCACTACTGTGTTTTCTCCATTACTCATGTTCTGATTTCCTTTTCTCACTTTATTCTTTGGTAATATTCTTCATTCTTTTCTGATATTCTGATTTGCTACTTATCAACGTGCAAAGACAATGAATAAAACTATACATCATCGAGTACATAAAGAATACTGAATCATGTAAGTAGCATATGCAGAATAATAAATTTTCTTAAGAAAAGAACTTTCTTTTCTTTTCTGTTTTCTATCTCTTATGTTGTATCTCTTTCTTTTCTTCTCTGTTTCTCTTTCTTTTCTTTCTTCTTTCTGGTTTGCCGATCGGACTAGGTTGATGCATGGATTTAGAACCCTGGCCATGTGAGTGGTACAGTCCTCATTTACATGCACTGCTGATAGACTGTACAAATACTGTATCTCTCTGTTATGGCCGCTCGCTCGTGGCGATGTGCATGCAGGCATGCTCTGCTGGGTACAGTCCTCATCCACATACACTACTGACGGAATGTACAAATACTGTATCTCTCTGCTAATGCCGCTCGCTCTATGTGGGCATCTCTGTCACTCACGGGTTCCCCATCGCAAAAACCTTATAACATAGCATGTTGTAGAAAGAGAATAGACAGAGATACTATACACATTTCAACATGAATTTCCAAGCTATGGAAATTCTACACTTGCATTCTTTAGTAAATGAGAAAATATACATACTTGCATGTTAGCTTAAAAGAAAATTACTAGCCATTTTATTTTCTTTCTTTCACATTCTTTGCTAACATATTCTTTCATATTCTCATTTACTAAATCAAGGTTGTACATATATATCATGTGCACAATATATGCATGATCAAGCCCATTCTATAATATGTTTTCCGAATTCACATATACAAACTTGCAAATTCATTATGGCATAATGGTATGTCATGACATATTCTACCATTCTCTACTATCACAATTGCCATATCAAAATAACACTTTAACTTGCAATTCCTTCCTAACACTTTCATGTGCTATTCAAAAAGTAGGAAAGGTTCAAGTAACTAGAATCAAACACTAAGGGCCGTTTCTCTCATGGAACTAACATGACCAAGTGATATTCTAAATTTTGGCATAACGATATGCACCCTTGAATACTAACATTTACACTTGGTTAAGCCCAAACATAATCTTCCTACTTCAATTCTTGCCTTTCTCTAACCCTTTCTTCATTAAGGTTTAGCCAACTCATGCATGCATTTTCTCTTTGGATTTTCATCAAATACTTCATATACACATGCAACTACCATGTTGGCTACACTTCCACAACTCTCTAATTCCACCAAATTGAGAGCCAAAAACTCACTAACTTTAGTATCAAACCTGGCCGAATCCATCACTTCTCTACACCAAAAATTTCAACACAAATTCTTCCACAACTTCACCAAATCATCACATAACCATACTCTATTTCTCATGGCTGCAATTTATGCATCATTAGACCTCAAAAACAGCAAACAATTCTCACATACAACCACATACAAACATGCAAAAATTCATTTAACACAAGTCTTGCTCAAATCAAGGTTAAAATTAGGTTTATGATGCGTGCAAATGCAACACCTAATTTTACCTCACTAAATTCTAATGCAAAGTCATGTGGTAGCAAAGAGCAAGTAAGGGTCTTTCTCGCAAAGGATTTGTGAACTTAATTAATTATTTACTTCTAACGGGGTTTGTCATGAATTATAAAATCTCAACAAAAACTAAAAAGAACTCAAAGCAAACAATGTAAATCAAGCAAATAATGACGATAGAGAAATCAATGAGATAAACGAGATGGAAGGTTTATTTGCCACCACTAGACACAAATTTCATATAATAAAAGCACTCTTTAACTTTCTACCCTCTTGATCACATCAGCTCAGAAAATACCAAACATTTCCTTATTTATTAAATAACCTAGGATACGATCTCCAGATTCAAAGTAATAAAAGCATTAAGTTGCAAGAGACCTACTGAATCAAGGCTAAACTCATATGGTCAGTTTAGTTATCTTGAGTGATTACCCCCCATGTATGCAGGCATACACTTTACCACTAGTTATTTAGGTTAATAAAGCGATTCCGCACTAAACAACCTAAATTGGTATTAATAGATTAATCCTAACGATTTAATTGGCCACTTAAACAATTAGAAAAATCTAGTTAGACCCTATTTTCAGAGAAATAATCACATAACCAAGAGGGATCAAAAGATAAAAAGATGTAGATTTTATTAATGACAAGACATGTCTAGGGTTTTGAAATCACCCTCAATAACAAAAGAATTAGTTCTTCATGAATAAATGTGAGAATATCATTGTATTATTCATAACAAATAATAATAACAAAGAAGAAGAAAAACTTAGTGAAACTTGGTTGGATTAATGACGTTGATGATGATCTCCTCCAATTCTTCTTCTCCAAGCCTTCTTTAATCTCCCTTTTTCTTCAGTTCTTGAATATCTTTGTTCTCTCTTTTTGTATCTCTAAAAGAATTCCCCCAAAATGCTAAAAGACTTCTATTTATACCCCACAAGGGTTAGGGTTTTGTTTTCCTTAATTCTAGTTAGTTTAGGACTCTTAAACCCTATTTTCCTAGTCAAAAATGGAAGAAAAGTTCCCAGCTGTCATGACTGTGCTGCGGCACTGTGCTAGCTGCGGCACAGTAGCTACTGGTCTTCATCCCGCATCATTCCACTGTTCTTCAGAGATGGTGATTTTTAAACTCGATAACGATGCAATTTGGAAAAGTGGTAAACATATGAAATGTAGCCCTTTGAATTATCTTTCCAACAGTCCAAAATCGTCTTAATATGAGTTTTACAACTCAAGATATTCTCAAAATACCGAGGCATGCTCAAGCTGGAACGTAATCTAGGATCTTCTCTTTACTTCACCTTCCATAACTTCTTCAATTCAACTCCGATTCTCGATCTATTTGTTTCCAGTTGTAAAAAATTCTCTTACCAACATCATCTCTCATTTGAATATTATTTTTGAGCCTTATTCCCTGAAAAAACAACAAAAATAGCTGTGATCCCGAAAAGTTCATTTATGAAACAATTAAGTTAATTCATGCGAATTAATCCTAATTTCCCACAAATGATACCTATAAACCACAAAGTGTACGTGTATTTTCAAGCACTTATCATAACCCCAAACCAGCTTCTTGCTAATCCCTAGCAAGCTAAGCGATAAAAATATGTCTTCTAGCTTGAAAATTAAAATAAAATAAACATAAATCTAATCTACCCCAAATCATTTCTGTAGATTGTCACGGTTGCATTTAGCATATGCAACAAGCCTTTAAACCCCTAGGTGGCCCTAGTTGGATGAGTTGTAGTCTCATGAGGGTTTCCAGTGATGATACCCATAAACATCCATACTAAACCTAGCCTAGACTCGAAAATTAAAAACAAACAAACAAAACATTAGTCTCTGGATATACATTCGTCTCAAAAATTGCATACAACACATAACATAAAGAATAGTTAAACATCATCCAAGCCCAAAGGTAACTCAAAAATCAATTTCATTTTCATTATCAACTCTCCACATCAATCATTCCACAAACCCGTTAATCACAAGACCCGGATGATCACATGCACAAACTTCACAAACAAAGAATTGATCTCAAAATTTTAAAAATATAATGTAATGTATAGAATCAAATTCCATAGGCTCACTTTTCAAACTACTCTCCGCTAATGTAGAATGATCACACTACCTCAAATCAATAGGTCTTTATTAAGCTTGTTACGTTAGGCTAGGTTATAAGGTTATGAAAGAACGGAAAAGATGAGCAAAAATAAGAGACTCAATCCTATTTCTTTCAAACACTTTCATTCAAGCACCACCATTCTTCTTTACACCCCACTTTTTCCACCCTTTATCAAAAATAATTTCATTGCATCGTTTATACTTTGCAATGTTTCTCAATAAATTTACTTTTTTCTTTCTTTCTTTCTTCTCTATTTTTCTTTTCTTCTTCTTCTTCTTCTTTTTTTTTTTTTCTTTCAATTTTTTTTTTCATTCAGAAGAAAGAAAAGAAAGCTAAAAATGCTACCCCAACTCTTGATTAAAAAGCACTCCACAACCCCAACCTATTCTTTTGAGCACATTTGGAATAAATTGACAAATTTCACAAACCTTCACCCTCACTTCTTTAATTGCTCTCACCAATCTTGTACTTAGATTAAGTCTTTTAAAAATTAAAGGGTAGGAATGTGTTTTTGGCTCAAAATAATGGTGGGTTAATGTAGGTTACATGAAAGAAAATCAAGGCTAAATGTGTTTAATAATGGCTCAAAGGGGTAACTAGCGATAATTTAAATAAAGGGTTGGCTTGAAAGGCTCAAATGATCCAAAGATAGCCTAAATCATATCCTAAGTAATGTGCATTCTAGGATTTCGCCTTAAGTAGTTATCAAGTGAGTTCTAGAATTTGTTGAGATCGCAAAAATGTCTATAAAAATTCATACATAACAAACATCACTAAGCCTTAACCAACCAAATCAAACCACATAGCATGAGAGTCTCAAACTAGATGAAACTAATTATTCAAAATTACCCCTAAACCTAAGCAACATTTAACATCTTCTAAACATCACATGTTATTACAATTATAATCATATCATTGACACATAAATTAATCTGAAAAACTAAAAAAAAT